CTACACACACTCCTCGTCGCACCTTGTCCTTCCCCTCGCGATTCTTCTTCTCCTCTTCCTCCTCTCCTTGCTTCTCCGCGCAGTACTCCGACTCCGGTTGGAAGGTACATCGCGATTGGTCACAGCTGGCCAGGATCGATGATGCTGGCTGCTAGGGTTTAATGCCAACATGGCCTCGCGACACGACTGCCGCCTAAACGCGGCAACGTGCGCGTTGGAGTCGATTCAAGTAGATCTTTCGATCGATTGTTCCTTGCCCTAGACACTCAAAGATCTAACCAATCGGATCTTTACAAGTTCGTTCTTTACAAGACCCGAGGCTCCGCCGGTGTCGGATGCACTTGGGAAATCCAGAAGGATTCGTTCTTAGAGAGATTGCACGCCGGCACATCTGCACTTGGCAATTCATCGGTATCACGCACGGCGGTATCTCTTTTTCTCTCCTGCGAGAATACATGCTTGAATGTCTGAGGAACATTCGAGACACTCTGCGAAGGAGAACCGGTGACGGTTCTCCTCTCCTCGAGCTCGCTCGATTCGGCTTTCGGCCATTTAGATCTCCTCTTCCTCGACTATCGGCAGACTGCTCTGGTGCACCAGCGGGCTGGTCCTAGCGGTGAACGCGAGGATCCAGTAGTCCAGCTCCTTCTTGTTTTCCATGAGGAAGGTCAGGGCGATCGGCGAGTCGAAGCCCTTCTGCCTCACCAGGAAGCCCTCGTCGCCGTAACGTTCGATCGTCGTGTTCCTTAGATTCAACACGCCGAGCGGTCGGCAGACCTTTTTTTGCGGATAGATGACGGCGAAGTGTTCCACGCTGGTGCGATAGACTTTCACCTGAACACTCTGCCGATGACCGTTCGGCCCGACCAAGGTCATGTAGCCACTCATGTTCTCGGTGTTCCAGCAAGAGTCCACGTTCGAGTCCTTCAGACTGGACTGGTTGAACTGCAGGAAGTTGGTGTGCATCGCTACGTCGGCTGGCATCCTGCTCCTCTTTTTTGGTCCGCTTCGATCCCTTACACCTTCTCTGGCTCGCCTTGACGACGAACTTTGCCGAAGGTCGACCTTTGCGCGAGTGAAAACCTTGCGGCGTTGAGGCTCGCGCGTCACGGAAGCGAAAGCGTATTTTGGAACGAAACGAAAGGGAAGCGCGATGTGTCTCGTTTCTCGCAATGGCAAACGATATTCACCAGACGATCTCGCGCAATCTACTGTCCGCGGAAACTTTCACCGCCGCTACTTATAGCGCGCGCGACTCGGCGCCGCGCGCCTGCGCTGCGCCTTCTCGCTCGAGATGTCATCCCGCGCGCGGCTCTCTCGACGTCCATAATACGAGCTACACGTCGTAAATCAGAGCCGTAGCAAGTGGCGATGGTCGAAAAATACCGTGCCGCAATTTTTCCGGAGTTTTCGTCGCGCTTCCACGAAGGGAAAAAGACGCATCGTTCTTCTGAGGGAGATGTAACTTTCAATATCATCGTACCAGCTACAGCAGCACGTATTGCTCTAGTTTTATAATTTTAATAATCCTTTTATCATAAATAATAATTAAATATGTTTATAGGAATTTCGAGATTTAAGAACATTTACGAGCAAGATTGAGAAAAATGCAATCAAAATTAATACATTATGAATAATAAAATATTTATATACTAACTCAAAATTTGGTAGAATTTTTGCTATTGCACAAAATGTGTGCCAATCTTATTATTAAAATAATTTGTTAAATTAATAGCACGTGTTTACGGAGTAGTGATCAAAGTTTATGTTCCCTTTATACATAATCTTGAGTACCTTGAAATTTAATTTGATAACGCTATACTTATATTAAATGTACATAGTACCAATCTTGATAGAGTTATTTAATTATTTAATGTTATTATTATATTTAATTATATTTAATTATATTATAAATTTAGAGCTACTGAAAACATTTTTAATTTGCTATTTTCTTGATTCATAGATTGCAATTATACAGTTTTATTATCATGTTTGATTATTTGGGCTTTCCCCCAAGATTTGTTTTACATTTCATAAACAAATAATAAAATAGATTAATTGCAAAAATAATAGCATGTGTTCAAATCTCATGTTATTTGGTACCAGATAAGAAATAACTATGCACGGCGCTGCATCGCGAATGCACGGAATGCATGCATTTCGTTGTGTCTCGTGCTGCGTATGACGCATGGGACACGCACCGAGACACGCGTTACAAATAAAGTGACAATATTGCATGGCAATAATTTGTGCGTCGTGTCGGCGGCAAAGATAAACGCGATGGCGCGACCTGATTCTTACATGCATTTATATAGATTGCATTTTCTGTATTGTTATATTTTTCCTTTATAATTTTTTTTTCTTAATATAGTGTAATATGCCTATATCATCAAAATTTGTAGTGATGCGTGTAGAAATTAATTGCTTTTTTATATAAATAATTTTTTATAAATAATTATATAGGATGTCTCAGAATTGACAGAGAGACTTGATGGTAATCGCGACGATGAAAATGAATCAATGAAATAAAACGCTTTTCTTGTAAAATGATCTCAAGACTGTCCAATTACGTAGGATTTCGTGTACGTATTACCTCACGTAATAGGTTTTTCAAGTACTGTATTTGAGCAACTACTATTTATAGAAACAACGCGTGCGTACGTACGACTTCTCATCGTCACGAATAAAACGAGATCGATCGGGTTTTACAAGGAACGTATTAACTTCATTAATTTCAAGAATAAAATCACGTTTTTTTGATAAAAGCATGTTAACTTTTTAAATTAAGAAATAAGATAAAGAAAAAAAATTAATTAACAACAATTTTTTTGTTATTTTATAAATTGCCTGTGCGTGTTTATGTTGGAATGAGATTTCACTTTATTTTTTAATAATTAGAAATTCAATAGAATAGATTATTGCTTATAATGTACGTCAGTGCTTAAAAATGTACGTCATATTCCATATATCTGAAGAATTTGTCTACCCCATTGAAAATTTCAATTGACGATGAATTAGCTGCCCCTTCTTCGTGCAACGCATTGTCGGTACCTCCGACCCGGCGTTCAATTAGCGCGATGGAGAGGATAAGATATCGATCCCCCGCCATGATTAGAACCGGTTTATCAAGCTACCAAGTTCCAGTTTCGTCGTTCTAGCGGCTATTCTGGGCGCATCGTGGTTCGCGAACAACGGTTCCCATTGGACGACGATCTCAACCGTGTCATGCATTTTGGAGCATCAATGTCGCTCGCTGTCAAAAACGCTCATTGTTTAACGAGAGGCTGGAAATTAAATTATCCTATTGCGACTTGCCTGATGCTATATCGGGAATTTCGGTAGAATATGACAGCGAATACGAATCGATAACTGCTTTTCGTCGCTTTATTGTACTGCGCGTTCTAATCGTTGCATCGGGTCATTGCACCCGGTGCGGTCCCTTCGGGTGCAAGGTTTGCAACGACGACGACGACGACGACGACGAGGATGACGGCACCGTTTGTCACCGCTTTCTTCGCAGAAGAACGCGTTTTGGCGCGCGGCCGATTTTCCCATGTTTCCCTCGGTCTTTTCGGAACGAGTCGCTCGAAATTTTAGCGACCCGTACGTGTGATTCAGAGTCGAGAGAACTCGCGCGATTCCCTGCCAAATAGTCGCCCGGCATACTCATCGGTATTTATTGACCGTCAGCTCTCCTTGATTCTTACAGTTAAATGAACCGTTTCTTCGTAAAGTGGATAATTTTCATCGCCTGTCCCAGAATCGTCACAGTTTCTCTCGAAGAGGGATATTCGAAAGCAAACAAAGAATAATAATGCTAAATTTTAATTGCCACGAATTATCTCTCTCTCTCTTCTTGTAATTATTTTATACGAAATTATTAATTAAAGCAATTAAAAATTTAAACATTTGCAAAATATTAAACATTACAATCACAATTATATCGCGATTTTTTTAAGTAGGAAATATTTCCATTTGTTATACAAAATTTATTTAACCCGTACTTTTGTATAGAAAAGTATTAAACTCAAATAATAACTTGCTGTTCATCGAGTATTTTATTGATATAAAATCACTAAATCGAATTCTTCATAATATTATTTAAATAAAATTGTTTTGTTTTGTTAAACAATGTATAGAAAAATCAATGCAAAATGTTTTTTTATTAAACTTTACTTGCTATTATTTTAGTATAACGGATAAGAAAGAGAGAGGAGAAAGAGAGAGAGAGAGAGAGAGAGAGAGAGAGAGAGAGAGAGAGAGAGAATTGTATATGATACAATAATATTAATATAAACATATTTATATGAAGCAGTTTGTAAATATATAAAATATTCGAAATGTGTGACTCATTCTTAAAAGAATTTAGACAACAGATTACACTGATAAACATTAAGAAAGCAGGCTTCATTATTCACTGATAAATGATATTAAAACTTTCCTATCCAAACAAGATTATATGTGTTCAGTGTGATAACAGATAAAATCAATAGTTTATTACCCAGACAGCACAAAACGTCCTCAGGATCATCCTGAATATGTCCAGGATGGTTTAGGATATTTGTAGGATGTTTTAAGATATTATTATAAATATATTTTATGAAAATTTAATATGCATACATGATTACTTTCAGTTATTCCTTAAGATGTTCCACAGGGTCTCCCTGGATTCTCCAGAGGCTAGTGTACGGCTATCATTTATTCTTCCTCAGGACATCCAGAGGAGATCCGAGGATTAAAATAGGATATCCTCAGGATATCCTACATGTATGTCCTGGATGCCCTTTGGACGTCCTAAGGACATCCTTGTGCTGTCTGAGTAGTAATTTAAAAACAAATATTATTCATATAGAGAATGCATAATTTCTTATGCTTATTATTATCTTATTTATTAGAAATTTTTTATTATTATAGAAGGAGATATATGTATATTTCGTTTCTTTTTCTTGTCCTATAGAAATTTTAATAAATATAAATTTTTTAACGCTATTTGTTAACGATTTCGTCGATTACATGCAGTACTATTTTCATTGCATGAAACTTCAATTATAAATTCATTGACAAATTTTAACTTATTTCTTTTTTTAATAAAAATGTAGAGAAAAAGTCGGGAAATATTATTTCGTATTAAAATAAACAGAGTGCCAACAAATAATGAAATTATTATTTTATCATTTTAAATTTGAATATATCCTAATTCAATAAAAAATTTATGTAATATTTAACACAGGAATTTAATAATAAAAAACGAAAAAGCCCGCCCTTTTCCCTCTTCAGATGTATGTGTGTTTTTTCTAAAAAATAACGATCTAAGATAAATAGGAAAAGCTGTAAAAGTTACATCTTGGAAATATGTATGGTTATTATATATTGATTTTTCAGTAAAATCTTAATTATCTTAATTATCTAATTAAGATATAAGACGGAAGAGCAAAATATGTTTTCTGAAATCATGTGTGATTGCTTTAATCAGTGACATTTTCACTGATTCAGTTTAAGAGACTTTGTTATATAAGAGCGAGCACCACATTATTAAGTACGATTAACGATACACGTGCTATGAATCGTTGTATTATGATTGCCGGATGAGATTGATCTGGGAGCGATCGCTAAAGCGTTTACGAAAAAATCAAACCTTTTACTGCAATTTTTGAAAAATAAAGCAATGATTAATTACGCGATATTCGATGAAGAAAAATTTTCTTGCATCATATTCTTGTTTAGCATCTTGTATCCGAATTTAGAACTAAACACAACACGATATTATCCTTTAAATTTATTTGTTTATTTATTTATTTCGCGTGTGTGTATTAAAATGTACGGAAAAATACACATCAGAAATATCATACCGACAGTTTTCTTTTTATAAAATTATTATAGTAACAGAGCAATTTGTAGCAATACAGGAGGAATCGTAATTGCATTTTGGCTCCATTTGATCATTGCATTTAGAGCGTAGCTCATGTGGCTGCACGGGCTACATGGGCACCACAGCACATCCATAATGATAGGACGTAATATCTCATTATTGCATTGTAATTTGATTTGCATGTCATATGTGATTATAATGCACGCGGTGAAGCATGTGCAGAAACAAGATAAATAATAATGCCACACGTGATACACGTGGCTATTGAATTCAAATTTTTGATGCAGAAATAATACGAAATTAAAAAATGAATTATGATATTACTTTTATTATTCCAGCTTTTCTCCATTTATATATTTATTTCGTTTTATTATAGTATTTTTAGCATATTATTTTAGAAAACTATTGTGTATAATGAATCTTTCAGCGATATTAAGAATGATTTTCATTAATTATTATTATATAATTATTTCGCATCATCTATTAATTGTAGAAATTATCGAAGATTGATGGGTTGATGCTGCAATTAATCAAAAGCCTAGCCATTATTATTCAGCTTATATATGTATATCGCGAATATTCTGTTATTTTTTAATTGAGATTTTGTTACGCGATAAAGATGTTACGTAAATAAATTTCGAATGTAGAACTCATAATATTCTTGTTGCCGCTCTTTTTATGGCGCCGAAGGCAACGCGGATTCTATCGAGGCTAAACACTTAACCTTTTTAAAAATCGATAGAAAGTCTCATCAATGAAGCGATAAAGGGTTCCACTCGGAGGAAAGCGCCACGTGTTACTATATTATTTTTAGGAATAATGAAGGGCGCCTTAAATATACAATATTCCTAGACAATCTTATGCATCATCACTATGTATATATATCACACCATATTTATATAACTTTTAATTAATATATATGTAACTAAAAGAAATTATTCTATAAAAGTATAAATGTGTGTGTGTGTGTATGTGTGTGTGTGGCAATTGATATAAATATAAATGATAAATAAGAGAGTTTATCAATATAAATAAAATACCAGCTAACAGTATGTGACTATCAAATAGCCTGGTGTAAATTAAGGGATAACTCTACAGAATCGATGGCCGATCGTCGATAAGATTGTATAATAAGCATGCACCGACTTTTAAATTGATTAGTTTTACGAGAGAAAATTAAATGCGTCTTTATACGATGATATACGAAAAATTGTGATTTCCGAAACACGGAGATTTATTATAATCTAATTATTATATTTCCCTATAGTTTTAACCGTGTTCTTTTGATTTCTAAGGAGTTTTAATTTTATTGACAGCGTTAATTAATTGTTTCACTTTCATATGATCGCTCGATGTTATATACAAAGTGTTCCAGAATTCGCGGACACGGAATGTACAGTGTGATTGTCCGTGTTGAAAGAAGCAACTTTTTTCTCTAGCAAAATTGTGTCTGAAATCTGAACACTATGGAAAAAAAGAACTCGTCACGCGCTACTGTAGGTAAGTAAAGCTTTGCATTGTCGATAATAAAACAATAATTTTACAATAAAATGTTTATTTTACTGTTCCTGAAACAGTTACATAAAATCTATACATTTTCGATAATCGCATGCACTAGTGCGCACCGATGCACATTAAAATATATTATAAACAAATTTATATAAGCATAAATAATTATATTTTTCTATAATTAACTATAATTTCTATAATAAACATGAAAAAATGAATTAATGCTATCAACAATTAAAGCTACTTAAAAAAACAATAGAACACGGTTAAAATTATAGAAAAATATAATTATTTATGCTTATATAAATTTGTTTATAATATCTTTTAATGTGCATCGGTGCGCACTAGTGCATGCGATTATCGAAAATGTAGGTTTAATCGCTCTGAGAGCGATTAATGACGTCATTGCATCGTCTCTGTTAATAAAAGATTTGAATTCATAATAAAATATAATGATTAATTGATCCGGGTTGAATTAACCCGTTCATTCGAAAACGCTATTACCAACCCTGGATAATACATACATATGTGGCGACCTATAAGGTTATTGGACAAGTTTGACAAAACCATGAGGATACGCGAGATCGTTTTACGAACGCATACCAAAGACTAGAATTTTATAATTGTAGGGAGCTAAGGAACAAAGATATATTTCCCCCACCCCAAAAAAACAATCTTAAGAAGCTTTGTCTGTGAATCAACGAAGCTTACATGTGCATGCATACATGAATGATTTTTTAATAGTATGGTAAAATCTATATCGGAACGTATAGGGGAACAATTAGGAAGTGAAGGAAATGTAGCATGTGTATATTGGCAGCCTGATATCTAGACGTTATATGTTCAGTTACCGCGCATGTGCGAAAAGAGAACCTAGAGAAGTCTCGGAAGGAAAAGAGGCCACAACATAACCTTTGAATTCTAACCTAGTCATTTTATGTTCGCCACATGTTTTATAACGTGAATTTGAGATTTAATTGAAGACTGTGTATATTTATGAAAGAAGAAAACGAAGAGGGTCTAAAGACGACATTTTTTCCAAGAAAATCATGACAATCTCGGAATTCACGTAATTTCGACAATTATAATCGATATCAGTCTAGTGTTTCACTGTAAGAATATAGCGAGACTACAAAATGTCGCGAATAACAGAAGTAATCTTGACGAGTGATACTACTGGAGAAAGTTGGAGTGCCGCGATATGGGATCCACGGAATGGTTCTATGTTATCTGTATTTAAAAACGCGTCAGCGCTCGGCCATCGCACTCTTCAGCTTTTGAGCGATAGCTACATATTGGGCGCCAGTGCCACGAAATCGCGTTTATACATCTGGCCGCTAAACAGCCCATCACCCTTGTCCAATATCCACCTAACTACAACGGGTAAAATGAATGCCCTGACTTGCACACCGAACGGCTCCTACATAATCGCCTCGGTGGACGAAAAAATATTCATCTGGCAGACCTGCAACGGCAGAATGCTGGCCAATCTAGTACGGCATTATCAGACTATTAACTGTTTGGCAATCACGAAGGACGGTTCATTTTTCGCTAGCGCCGGCGAGGATGGTTACGTGTTCGTATGGTCTCTCTATAAAGTGTTGAACGCTAATAAGCATGACCGTTTACCCGTTTATACCTTCAGTCATCATACTATGCCAATCAAAGATATGCTCTTTGGTTTTGGCGGCGCTCGCGCAAGATTATACACGGTTTCGTTGGATGCAAAATGTAACATCTATGAGCTCGGCAGCGGAGATCTTCTGCTTTCATTGATATTTGACGTGCCGCTTACAGCGATCACCGTGAATTCCCGCGAAAGCGAATTCTTTGTAGGTTGCACGACCGGTGATATATTCCAATGTAATCTGCACGAACCGCCACGCGAAATCGTGCTACACGTGAAGAATGAGGAGACAGCTGTGTTCAGAGCTCACAAGTCGCACGTCACCGCCCTGTCGGTATCCGTAGACTGTCGCACTCTGCTGTCTGGATCTACCGATGGAGCCGTCCATATCTGGGACATTGTCAGTCGGCAGGTGCTCAGAACGATTGAGCACAAGGGGCCAGTTACCGCCGCATTCTTCACGAAGGGATTTGAAAATTTTCGCGCCTCTACCCTCGAACCGCGCTTGGAGGTGCATAGTCTGGAGAGGGTGTCGGAAACTAATGACAATGAATCGAACGACGTTATCAAAGTTATTTCCAGAGGACGAAATCCGGCAGAAATTCTGGACTTTCAATCGTATGTGGGAAATACCGTTGATTCTTCAGAACAGGAAAAGTTGATAAAGCAATTGACAGATTTGAAGGAAGAGATTAACAAGTTGGAAAAGATCAACACTAGCCTATTTAAGTATAGCGTCACGCATATCCTGCAAGAAACGAACGATGAATGATGGACAATATTAGAAATATAATAAAGATTTTATCTATCTTTGAAATAGACGGAAAATTTAATTATATCTTATAGGATTAAAAAATATACAATGCAAAAAAGAAAGATAAAGAGAGGTATTAGATACCATTTTTTTCTTTATATGAAAATATGTATTATGTTATTGAAAGATAACACAATTTTTTACAAATCATAAAAATATAATTACGAAAAAGATCAAAAGTTTTCTTTTATCCTCGAAAAGATCTTTATTCGTAAATTTTTGAAGTATAATAAATGCACAAATACTTTTCTATTTTATTATTATTTTTTACTATTTTGTTATATTTTATTATTGTATTTGTATTCTATTATTTTATTTTATTATTGTTTTTTTATTCTATATTGTTTCTTTTTTCGCGATATTTAAGTATTTATAGTTCCATTAACGCCAGACGAGATTTTGTATTTTATCTTAGATTGAAACCTAATATTGCGAGATATATTACATTCTCGTAGTATTATCTGTAAAGGGCGTCACTAATTATCTTTACTAATTAGGATATTAGACGGGAAAATAATTTCTTTGGCGGATGATCTGCTATCGTCGGATCGAGAAGTGACGTGCTATTCTTCATCCTTCTCCTTCTTTAAAGTACAATATTATAAATAACATCTTTTTTTAAATAGTGTAAAATAGATAAGATATAAGTGAGAATGACATTTTACTGCCGAATCTGAAAAAAAAAAATTTTCTCGCAATATTGAGTAAAACATCTATAAGCACGGTAGAACGATTTTCTCTTTCTAGCTGGTCTTTTCGCGACATTAAATTATATATTTTATTCTTTCTTTCTTTCTTTCTAAACACATATGCGCGCATATTCCGTACCAGTATTCCTTATCCATATCCCTATACACGTGTACAATTAATTAGACAGCGAGTCAGTTAAATGTTAGATACGATCTTTATCGGCGCTCCTTTATATTTAAATGAGCTGGTAGGCGCATACAAATGAAACCTTCATGAGAACACTATATCTGTCACAGATAAATTAATCGCGAGGCAACATCGCATGCACATTGTCTCTTTAGGTGAGTCAATGAGCTACCGGTTCGTCTAATTTTTAGTTACATCCGATGCATCTTGACTATTCGTGACTTCTAATGGTATTGATCGTTCCACATTTTTACCTATTTTTGTAAAAGAAATTTATTCGGAAACATCCGATGTAAGTCCACAATTACGTATTCTCTATTCTCTCCCTCATTGCAAATAAATTTTTCTCTAAAATTCTTTATACATGAACGAGTCATTCCATAAGTATTGCTTAGAGAACTTTATTGTACGAGGTACGTTGGAAAAAAATGTACATATGTTACCAGCATTTATTATTTATATGGCACGTGAAAGAGGAAATATATAAATTAAGAATTTGTGTTGTAAAATTCCCAATCTTTGAAACTGAGAGATGGCTTTACCAATATTGAAACCTTTTCTATTCATAGTTCTAGTGTTTTCGATGCAACAGTCACAATGTATCCAGTGTGCGTAAACGAGGGAACGATACGAAAAAATATCGCGCGATCACGTTAGGGAGATCATCCTCACTTTGGAAAATCGCATTCGGTGTTCAGAAAATGTCACGCACAGTAATTCATCATAATCTGTCGCACGATAATCGCATCACGCGTGTACAAATCTATATATTATCCTGCATCATTGTAATCGTAGCCTCCTTTTACGCCTACGTCAGCATTGACCGAATTACTATAATTGACACCCCCATATTCTAGCTAGGAATGTTCAAAAGTGCGTCTAGGGATCAATTTATTTTTTGATAAATAGGGTTTTCCATCCTAGGGGTTGCGTAGTACATCAAAATCGACCGCGTCGTCAAAATTAATAATATATATCTTTATACTATACATCTCGCCCATAAAATGACGGTAACCATTTACATTGAAATGGTATATAAAAAAGGAAGCTTATGGAAAAACCTTGAAAATTTTATATTAAGAAAAGAAAAAAAAAGATGTAAAAAAACAGCTCGTTCTCTCATAGAAAAGTATCCATAATGAAATATATTCTTTGATTCAACGACATACATATTGAAATGATATGATTGGCATAGGTAAATGTAACGCGTTATGCGCAATACTAATAATATTTTCTTCTTTTGATAGTATAACAATAATTATTATAAAACTGAAATCATAATTGAAATCACCGACAATATTCGTCGATAATATTTTGCCAGCATCATCTTTGGCCGACAGTATGTATTCATCAATATACAAATGTTTGTATCTTTATTATATTGTACATCTGATTAGGCAAATAACTTGATCGTTTTTACAAAGGAATAATTCTATCCGTCTTGAAAATTTTGCAAAAACGTGTTGTAAATTAAAAATTTCTGGTAAGTATTTTATATCTCAGATTTTTTATAAATTTTTCAATTAACGTTAAATAAAATTTAATTTTTGACCCGGAGAACATCTAACAGCCTGTTATGTAGATCGCGGGAAATACATCGCAAGAAATAGGGGCGAGTCGGAGGCCCTGCGATAAGGGGGTTGAACCCCCCTCAGGGTGGTAATTCCATGATCGGGTGGAGTGGCGCAACCCCGGTAGAGGCGCAAGGTATAAAATCGGACGTCGGGTAACAGGAGGCATTCAGTGTCGGTGCGATTCTAAGCTTTGCAGCATCACTATTTAAAATTTCGATCATCCACATCATAGAAATGCAGGACAACCGATTTTTCACTCTTATGGTACTTCTGGTATTTTCTACCTCCCTCAATCGTAAGTCGATATCGTGAGATTTATAACAAGTTTTAGAGCATTTTAGCCCAGTGAGCATTATTGAGAGGATGAGCTCTTTAAGAGGACTTTTTAAAGACTTAATTAAATTTTCTTAGAAATGATATCAGTAAGTTATCTTTTTGTAAGATATCTTTCACAAGAGCTCTTTATGATATCTCTTCATAGATATCTCTAAAATCTCTAGCAAGCGTGCCATTTAAGATATTTTACGAAAGCCGCACACATGCGCAAGCAACGTACATGTGAACTAGAGACCCTGTGTTCTAGTGTGAATTGCGTGCCACTGCATGCTCTGGATTTCAAAGAGATAGCATTTCTTTAATATTAACGTTTTTAAGATAATCTTTCTTTCTTAAATTATAAATATTATTAAATATGTATTTGAGCATAAAATATATTAATATTTTCATATATATTTTTGTTATTTCTATATTTAACCTAAGAAGTTGGGTTATGTTTTCAAAAAATGTAAATGGCGTTTTTTAATTCATCGATTGATCAATCGCATGATGCACAAATGTACAGCAAAGTCCTGTATTTGCTACATTTGTGCATCATGCGATTGATCAATCGATGAATTAAAAATCTCGCTCCAAAAAATCTAATACTACAAATAGAACGGTTCTTAACGGTGACATTTTTTTGATATTTAAAAGAAGTCAGATTGTGGAATTCTTTTAGATGTCAATTATATGATGTCTTTCTTTCCTCTAAAATCGACGCATTGGAGGACTTATTGATATCATAATATTATCATTTTGATGGTGTTTTCGGAAGTCCGACTCTTAAACTTGAGTACTTTATGAATTTCTTTTGATAACATATTGCTCACTGGGAGTTTTTGATCTTTAGTCTAACAGTCGGTTCGCATCAAGCCACAAATTTTTAATCAAAGATAAGCATTTTCTTACATAGTGTTTTTCAAATTTCATCTTGATTTTATGGTTGTCAAATATATTCATGCATTCTTCTTGATAACTTTTAATTTTCTGATAAAATATATAAGCTTATAATTATATATAAGCTTATAAATATATAAGCTATTAAAAGTTAAATTTGTTTCATTATCTTATAAATAAAGCATTATTTAATTTTTTCTCACCAAGACAAAACTGTTAACTCGATGCAACAATTCCCGACACGAAGTAAAAATGAAATAGGATAGGGAATTAAGTGCAAAAAAGCTGCAGCGCGCGTGAAAAAAAATATTGTGACTAGATTCCCGTAGGAAATCGTTGAGCGCCATGTGTGCGAGTGTAAATTAAATTGTTAAGGATTATGAGAGATGTCCGATCTCTGATGAAAAAACGTCGACGACATCCTATTTATTTTTCAGTTGCCAGATGCTCGGTCGGCCAGCAGTTTGAATCCGCCAGAGGCAAGAAATTCTCGCATGAATGTCGCATATTTTCATAACTTTCATGTAGCATTTTTTTTTTTTATATATATATATAACGTCTAATTTTATATAAAAGTTTTATGTACAAGTATACAATATATATACATTACGACTATCGTGAAAGATGACAATCTCTTTTAGATATTTTCTTTTTAAATGCATTTTACATGTCTTTTTAATTCTTTTGCGACGTTTTAGCGTGTTATTGATTGCACAAATTTTACTTCTTTAAAATTTTATTATAACTTTGTGCAATATATATTTTTATTTAAGTAAATTAATACAAATTTGTTTAAACTTTTAATAAAAAATGTAGATGATTGTTTTTTAGAAAATACTATTATTCACTTTTTCGATAGTTTTTATGTTTTGACAAACATTTTATGTTTATATATATATAGTCTTATGTATGTGTGTGTGTGTGTGTATATGTGTATATTCGATATATAAATTATATCATGGTTTTTGAATTGGCTTCACGAAGCATGTATATGTATAGCAATACACATGCAAAAGATATTTAGTTTCATTTATAAATATCGATTGCGAAAATAATTAGTCGGAAAAAGTAACAATTTTATATTTATATGTTTTGTAACTCTCAAGAACATAATTTTAAGCATGTCATTCTAATTAGTCATTGTGTTTTACTCGATGTTTCAGAGGGTCAAAAGTTGAAAGCCAACGATAGGCGATCCGCTGGATTGGTGCCGTATCCTAGGATCGGTCGAAATTCGGAAATATCGAGCTTCTCCAGATCGGAGCGCGCTTTAGGTATGATACATCAGCCTCGGATCGGACGATCCGACGTGTCGAGCTTGGGCAATTTGAATCGATTTCACGATTTATCATCCGACGCCGACATTGAGTTCTACGCTGTGGACATGGATCCTGACGCTCTCTTAGGTCCTGATTACGAAGGTGTGCGGATTATTTTCTTAAAATAATTTAATATGTTAATAAAATTATAGACGAATATATTGTGAACTTTTTAAATATAAATTATTTTATAAATAAATAAAAATGATCGGATTTTATAGAAATAAGATTTTACGAATAAAAACTATCAATATTCATAAAAATGACTATGAATACTGATAAAAATAAAAGAGTAACTTGTTTGTTGAAATTTGACGATTTGATTCGCATATTGCTGCAAAATATTTTAGCATTCAAACATTTTCACATGGACGCAGAACCATGCAAATATTTAAATCAATATCACATTTAGAATCAATATCTGGTTGTTATTAATTAAAGCAGCTTTTATCGGATTGATTGAAAATATATGGAAAAATACGAGCGGACAACTGTACCAATGAATTAACGTGAAACAATATAGTATTACATATGGTATACATTTATATCAGTTTATATCAGTTTTTAACGAATCAGTTTATTTATCAGACTTTATTATATCTTTCTCATGATCTCGTTTGCTGCGTTTAAACAAATTGCAATAAAACGTATATAAATATTATGCATTGTAATCTATATGTATCTTGGTTTATTAACTGTGTACTTTTGTATTGTAGACTACGCGAGCAAACCGATAGCACTTAAATATGCTGACAAGCTACAGAAGGACGCCTCCTGGTTAATGCCCGATCATATTCATGGATATAAAGATCTTCATTTCGCACAAAAAATTAACGATCCTCGACTATACTATTCTATTTTGCGAGGTATGTATAAAAAGAATATATTTTTTTTTTACTTTGCATTATTAGCATTAATGAATTTAAATTAATTTATATTAGATCGTGATTTTTAATTTTAATACAGTTTGTGATTAAAATCATGAAAATAATCTATTGTTTATTTAATTGATTTTGTTAAAACTGAAATATTGAAAATGTTTTATTTGATTTTAACAACACGATACTGAAAATGCATTATATAAAGAGTATTAATGAATGTTCGCAATAATGAGCACCGACATCTTTGAATATTATAGAAAGTATTGATCATATTATTTTCGCTAAATTAAATATTCCCTCAAAATAGATAATCTCGTCACGAATGTTCAATAAATATCGACTGTCATACACGATGTCATATCCATTCTTTAACACTATATAAAGCGTTTTTCCATAAAGAAACGAATCGTGCGAATATCACTATTTTATTAATCTTTCAATGCGGGCAGTTTAAGAGTCCACGTGCGATTTTCCTGTAACATGATTGTTCTTTTTTTCCAGATTCTCGAAATACTCAAGGCCAAGGAGGATATACTCCAAGATTAGGTCGGGAGAATGAACATGACGTCGCGAATTTCCTGTAACTTATTTACGCTTTGATCACCTGCCTCGCGAACTTAACGGATGTTAATTCAAAGGAAAAAAGAAACTTACTGTCAAAGACGTCACCAGGAACGTGTGATGCTTTCGATTGTTTCCCCATTTGCATCGGCGACCCACTTTATTCTTGCACTTTGTACGCAAGTTTATGCGCAACACAATACATAATCTGCATTTAAATATTGCAATTTATAATCTTACACGCAATCCTCGCCTTGTGTCATAACGAATAATAATTTTTTGATGAAGCGGTCTGATCCTGAAGTGATTCGGCACGCAATTCTGTGTGGATTTTTACTGAAAAATACACAATTCAGTTTAATGTTTGTTTTTATATAATGGAGAACATAAAATGATGAAGAAATGGAAATAAAAAAAAATTTAATTTGTATTACGCTAAGCTAAATGATGACTTGTTTTATGATATATTTCCACAAATTTAAACTGAAAGTGGTTTGTATTCGCATTTTTTAATTATTTGATTACATATAACAATTTGTACAAATAGATCCTATTACTAACAATATAGTTAAACTTTGATACGATATTTTTAATACATAATACATAGAAAGCCGTATAACCAATCAGAGGTAGAATTTTTTTAGAAAAGAAATAATCCGTACAGCTTTTCGTTTTATTTTTAGCATATAAATTGGGTACAGAAAAATGATACTATATCTTGCTTCAATTTTTCAATGCCAAATATATCTTGATTTTTTGTCTATAAAATGCGATTTATATATGATCACAATATGAATGTTATAATCGAACTCTGTGAACATAACACGATACGATACATCGTTCTCTGATAACGAACGCAATGAGACAATACACAACAGTAACACGATGGATGTAAAATTCAATGATTTTATTAATTGACAAAGTGTTCATAATGAATATTATTCATGTATAACGCGCCGGCGTTCGCGCAACTTGCAACGTCCGGATCGCGCGTGTACACGAATGTTGTAATGTAATAACAAATATGTACACACGTAGAGAGTACATAACAAACTAGTGATACACTTTGGAGAATGAATGGGAGGAAGATAATGTGAGATGCGCGGCGTGTTTGGGGCTCGCGCTAGCCAAAAGTCCATCGTTTGAAGAAATAGTCGTGTAAAGTATGTACAAACGTCGCCTCGCTTCGGATTATTTAGCGGAGACTAGAAGAGACTTTTTTTTTTATAGATCTAAAGTTTCTCTCACGCATCCGTCCATCACTCACACGCATTCATCGTGAGCGCAAGCGGCCGCGGGCCGGACAAGCGGGCAAGGCAGGCAGACAAGCATAGACAAACAGATATTCGGTAGTAAGTGTCCGGCAGTCATGGCCGATATCGGCCCCTCGATCGAATGCTCCGTATATTAATCTTGGTAACACGCACGGCTTGCAATATCGATTTCCTTTCAGTCCTCTCTCGGCATGCCGATTCACCAGATTCACACTATATGTCGTAGGGAAGAACGACTTGGACCGCACTCGCGGGAAATGTCTAATCACGACTAACATTCTCGTCGTTTCCCATGGGGTGTTCCCCGGCTATCTGTCAATGATTACCTATTCGTGCGATTCCGCAGTGTTCAGAAGTGTTTCGCCAAAATTGTACATCGACATACGTTAATCATTTCCAGTAAATCTTTTACATGTTCTTTTTCAACGCGACGAAATTCGCCGAGAGAAATCGCCTAAATGAACTACGCTCATCTATTTCGTATCTAGACATAGTACAAAAATTTAAAAAGCTTTAAATGTTTAAGAAATATTAAAGATATTTTTATGCGTTTTTGAGTCATTTGAATTATCTGAGAGAAGAAAAAAAAGTTTAATCATTCTCAAATCATTAGCTGAATTGTGTCTTGTATCGCTTTTTATGATAAATAGTGATACGCAATATTCGATTCTGTTATTGATAAGTAACAGTTTTTAATTGCTGAAAAATAACATATATATATATATATAACTTATTTTCATAACGCTATTCAAAAATTTTGATTTGACAAATGGCAGTCTAGAGTTGCGATATCAATATTCTTGCAACGCCAAGTCCTTGGCGATCATGATGACTCAGCGAGCATATGATGCTAGGGTAAAAGTTGTTCGATACAACTAATGTGATGCGTGTCATTGTCAAATTAGCGATTGGATGACATGAAAATAATGATTCGTTTTCCATCGAGGATCGTATACGGATCACTCGTTCGAAGCTCGCGCATGCGTTCTCAAAGGGAGTCAGTCTTTGAACGACTCCTATGATACAGTCAATATTACCGCGCGCTAATTGTTGTCACATCTAATAACATCCGGCCGATAATGGACACTCCTCAGTATATCGGGGAAATGTTATTAGCGGAATATTATCGATTACGAAATTAGTATGCGCGACAATATATGGAGGGGAGGCCGCTCCTTTAGAGGGAAACGAATTCGTGCGGCGGTTGAATGATCCGCGGCGGCGGTGGCGGTGACAGTCGCAGATCTATATCCGTCAACGAGAACGCGGAACTGCCGTTCGCCGTGATGCGCGGTCCCATGTTATCGTAAGGCGACCCGGCGCCGGCAATTTCGGCGGAACGTAAGGCCCGGCGCGGCAGCGTGGCGAAGCTGGAAACGTTGACAGCCGCTGATGGTATCTTTCCGCTGGCTGTGACGGCCGTCACGGCGCCGCTGACAGCATGGACGGGGATGTCGAGGAGATCCGGATAGCAGCGCTCCGACGACGCGTCCTGCGGCAATGACACGGAAATGAAGATGTTGCCGAAGATGCCGGCCGGCAGTACGCCAGTGGTGAATTCCGGTGGCGGGGGCGGAAATAGGTTTCCAGCAGCGGAGCACGGGACCGCGCGAATGGCGTTTATCGCGCTCTCCGCGGGTCGGAGCCGCTCGACGGTGACGGCAGCTGCGGCCATGGGGTCGCAAATGGAGCCGCGCTCGGCCAGCTCGAGATCACCGGTGCTACACGCCTCGCCAAGGCTGCCGTGGCCGCTGCCGCGGTCGTTGCTATTGCCGGGCGTCGTAGTCGTGGTCACGGACAGGTCCAACAATTTCTTTTCTTGGTCGCCGAAGCTACTGCTACCCTGCAGCTTCATCTTCTCACGCTTTCTATGCCGCCGGTTGCCGCCGCACAAGCAAAGGGCCAGAAGGACAGCCGAAATGGAAGCGCATGCGGCGGCCGCGCCGCCACCCGCTAGGCTTACCCAGAGGAGCCAGTTGTCGCTCTGAGAGAGAGTCGGGGCCGTGTAGACGTGAGGTATCGCCACGTTGACCGTGTCCCGGGCGACGCCGGCAATGTTTCTCGCGAAACAAGTATACTCGCCAGCGTCGCTGTCGCTGGCGTTGTAAACAGTCAGATTACTCCATCGCTCCGGGACGATTTTAGACGACACGGATTTGTCGAACTTGGAAGACGCACCGACCTCGGACGTCGTATAGACGACGAGAGGCCCGGTGTATAATTGATCGGTTAATTTAGTAGCATTAACCGGTCCGCCGTTCAGCTGCCACCAGATTTCCGGCTCGGGATCGCCGGATGCCAAACATGCCAAGCTGAGATTACCGTTGGTCTCTTCTTGTGTGCTACTCGCTAGAACGAATACTTCCGGTTCACAAGCGAAGTCGACGGGCTTGACGTCTTCCCATCTACGACCTGCCAATCTCGATGGACCCATACAGATCTGCGGAACGGAATACAACTTTCTGGGGGCGTCGGGAATGAGCCAGATGCGAAAATCTCGCAATCTGCAGTCGCATTTCCACCGGTTACCGTCCAGCGATACGGTTTTTAATTGAGACAGATTGGATATCACCGAGGCTTCTAGATATTCCAGCTGGTTGCCATCCAGCTTCAGGAACTCCAAGCCGCTCAAGCGGGCAAAGGCCTGTCTGTGTATTTCGGTCAAGGAGCACTTCTCCAGTTCTAAATTCCGCAGATGCTGCAGCACGGGAAATTGTAGATTACGTAGAGTACCGAGCGGATTCCCGCTAAGTATCAGGATACGCAGGCGCTCGTTCCCGAGGAACGTGTCCGGCTCCAAGGTCGTCACGTGATTGTCCGACAAATCGATCTCGATGAGTATTCTCATGTCCTTGAAGGAGTCCGCATGAATCGTGTGAATGCCAGCCTTGCGCAAGAAGACCCGTTGCAGATTTACCAAGCCGGCCAGCTTGAATACCTCCGCCTGTAGCGCGGGTATCATGTTGCCGGACAAATCTAGAACTTGCATGTCCGGATCGAGGGACGCCGGCAGCGACGTCAGGCCGGCGTCCGGGCACAAAGCGGACTTCTTGCCGGAGGTCCATTTGCATCGACATACCGCGGGGCAGTCGGTCCAATCCGGGAAGGCGACCGCTCGTGACAGCAAGGCAAAACACCCCGTCAAGAGGAAGAGGGCAAGTAATATGTGCCCTCCTAGAGGGTGACACCTTGTCACTAACATAACACCGTCCTTTTATCGGTGTCTGTCCGATGTCCGCTGATCCAGTCCGGATCGTTCTCTCGCCTCGGGGCGAGAACAGGAAGTCGACTCCACCGCAACAGACGACGACACTTCTCCGTTTTACTGACGAGCTGCGGAATAAAAGCTTCGCGTCAGCATCTCCTCTCGTAATCGATTGTTTGTATACTTGATATTTTGCGGTCGCCGCGGCGTCTGATCAAAGATTCACGCTCGCGACGCATTTATCGTTGTTGGTCGACATCGGCCGTCGTTTGAGATGCGTTCGAACAAAAAAAGGAGACGAGTACAAACTGCTCTATCGCTACTGGAAAATAGGAATTTAATATAGGCGGAAGAATAGAACGTCGGCGTACAAAGAACGGTCGCGCATAAAAGAAGAAATATTACATTGCTGAAATAACAGATAGCTTGCGATAGACTAGTGGAGAACCGTTTTGTGCTAATACGAAACGATCGTTCATCACATCGGATCCTTGATTTCTAATAAGTCTACGATAAACAAACTTTATATGTAATTTTATATATTTTTATGAAATAAAATTTGTGCTTGTTTACAAAATGCGATCGTTTAAAGCAACACGATGAAACGCGTGGGAATATCGCGGAGCGTCGTACATAAGGCGAAAGGAAGACTATAAAATTCTAAGGACAAATTGTGTTTTTTATTCTTACTCGTTTGTGGTCGCCTAAGCGTGCCGTCCGCGACACTGAATAAGGCCGTCATACTCGCGTGGACGCTTCCATTGTCTCTGTCAGAAGTTTTCATTTCGCAGACCCGTCCTGTCGTCGCAGCAGCGGCATTGTCAGCGGATTCTCAGTTCTCATTCTGATTAAATGAGCGCCATAAGCGCTCGCGTATCAGTAGTTTAAGCCAGTGCCAGCTATTCTCCTTTTTATAACTGCCGCGACGATTTAATCTGGAAAAATTACGGGAGAGAGAGTCTTATATAAATTACATTCTTAATATTATCGCCGAAGCGTCGATAGAACACTTACTCGAATACCAGGATGAATCCTTCGTTCGATTGCGCAGTGTCGTTTGATATGCAGTTCACATAAATAACTTTGGTGGTAACTTGATGGTACCGAAATCAAAAAGGAAGCGCGCGTGACAAAATATCGATTATGCGACCGATATGAATTTTAAATCCCACCTCGTTGCTTCTCGCGGTCGGCATATTAATCAACGACGAAATATGCCTGTCTCGCCATATTATAATCGCTGAGTCCGCTAACCGTGCTACTAACTCCCTCCCCGTCGTCGTCAGTGCGCGGCGTAATCCACACCAGAGGTGGCTTATCACACTTATCATAAATTAATCGCGAACCCGACGAAGAACCCAGAAGCGTTCGCGGGACCGCGATTAACTCTCTCATGGAGTACGAGCGTCGAGTTACGGCCAAGAGTAGGTCGGTGTCACCTTTCGTTTGGCTTTCGCAGGCGCGAACACGACACGGTTGCAGCGTAATTGAGTTGAGCGAAAGTTTCCCGTTGGATTGGCGGATATACTAGCGATAGTTTCAGTCCGTGTAGCTCATAGTCGTCGACGTAACGCGATCCTGTCGCGCGAATTAGCCACGTCGATCGCGATGTCGAACTTCGCCGTTCAATCCAAGTCCCTTTGGCACTCTAACTTTTCCTCTTTCTTCCTTGACGTTGACCGATCCTGACCTGACAAGGGTGACATCGGTCAACGGCCGTCAACCGCAGACTCTCATCAATTTACCTCGCGTTACGTCGCCTGATAAGCTCGAATTAGCGCACGTAACAGAGCGAAAAAGATTCCCGCGGACACGCTTAACCAATCACAGGACCGCTTACAGCCACCCTCCGACCTTAAAGATGAGCGTACACTGTGCTTCGCTCCCGCGATAATTCCATCTACTCCGTATCGCGCAGCCTTCTCTTTCTCGGTCCACCAAATCTTTGCAAACTTTACCGATCACTATCGTCACGATCGCATACAAAGAGATTAATCGGAATAAACGAAATTGAAATGGAACAAATGATCTTCTTGCACGCAAATGTCCTCAGCGTCGAAAATTTTCTCGCGAGCAACGAGAGGAACGCGCTCTCGTTCCTTTTTTTCTCCAAACTAAACAGCGATGCGTCCCGATGTCACTTGTCGCACTTCTCTTTTCGCGTACTCCCTATTGTCCGTGCTCGCTCTCACGAGAGAACACCCTCTACTTGAGCCATGAGGTCGTCAACTGGCATCGACGTCCTCGAATGCTCTCTTCTCCGATCAATCAATCCCCGTACCGGCGGAACCTCGGCGACGGCGGACATTCGCACAAGTCGCTCTGGTCGAGATCAACCGTTGCTGGAAGATCGCGCGGAGTTGGTTCCATTGCTGGAACACCTCATCTGTCCCGCTCGGCCCCCGCAGGGAACGGCCTTGGAATTAGTCGGGGGACGCTACGAACCACCGATCGGCTGATCGCGAACGGCGTGTCGGCACCCAAATCCAGGCCGGGTGCCCTAATATAATAATCGTCACTTTTTCTGTCTGTCTTTCGATGAACGATCGTGGAGAGCCGCAGATTTGCCGCAGCGGCCACTGGCACGATGGATCTGTATCCGTCCCTCTCTCGCGCGCGCGGCGCCCTCTCCTCTGCACCCTCCACCCTTCGCCTCCTCGTTCGCCCTTTCCTCTCAACGAACCTTCCCACCTCCTTCGCGGTCTCCCTTTCCTTTCTCTTTCTCTCTCTTCCTCTCACTCGGTCACCCTGTACCGTTTACTCTTTCTGGTTCCCTAGCGGTCTGCGGGCAGCACCGTCGAACTCTGAGTAGCGGTTCAATGATAGTAATATCATCCCACCCCCTCTTTTATCTACCTCATATCTCCCTTCCCTTTTTCTTCTTTAACATTCTTCGACAGGTCCCTTCCTTCTTTGCCCTCTCGCGAGCCAAGCATTCCAGTGGGAGGATTATTTCACATACAGCGGAATCGGTCACAGCAAGGACACGGGGCGATAGAGGCGTAACAACGCGGAATTCACTGGAAGCTGATAATGTTCTGACTGGTGCAGGCGCAGCTTCCTCCGTCGAAGGAAAATCGATTTTCCCTTCGGCAACGACGTTAAGACTCCACGTCATTTAATTGTCGAGCTGGTATTAACCGTGCTCGGCGGATTCTATGTTATCGACTAGACTTTCGCGATACTCACCACTCAGGTTCAAGTCTACGAATTTCAACAGTCCGACATATCAGCAGCATCGCTATTTCGTGATAACTTCCTAACAACATCAAAGCGTCGATGAGTAATTATTGTTTAGATAACAAAAGCCGAGAATATGAGAAAAAGGAGAATGAATGATAGGAGATAAGAGAAGATATACTAATTGGACTTGATAAAGGAACTCAATCAGATTCGCCGAAGCACGGCTCGTTCTGCGTTTCCAAGCGTTTATTACAAGACAATGCTGTGGTTTCGATGGACAGCCATTGTTTAAATGACGGATCCCGCGACGAGGATAGGAAGAATCGATTTCTTCGTAGGATAAGAGCGGCTAATTGATGGATGAAGGAAGAGTCGAGTACTGCCGCTGGAAAGCGTCTCGTGTGTTCTACGTTTTCAAGCTTTTATTACAAGAATATAGTATAAACTTTTGCTCGATAGCGCGCGTTTCATCGCGCGTGAATTTTTATACATATAATTGCATCTCTCAACCCTTCGCGCAGGCCACGATAGTCATAGCTTTTTTTTCGATAGTTTACCGATATATGTATAATAATAGATCTTATACGATTAGCTTATCTCGTCTAACTTGTGATCTATAGGTTTATATCTGTTTTTTTTTTCTTCTGGTTTAACTGGAAACATACTTGGCAATTCACGTCTAATAAGTACAACGAAGCATCTTTTTTTTAAATCTCGATCTCAACGCCGTGGGCGCCGTCGATCATCTTTCGCGCGTTCTATCTGCTGTAATTATTTTTTTTTTTTTGTGACCCGGCGTCACCCGCCTGTAATTGATATGTCAATTTTTTCCTTACAGCGAAGTTCCAGCTCGTTCCGGGGAAAAGCGTAGTTACTGCGAATGTCGATTTCACGGCAGTGCTGGGTATTATTTCCAGCTGTTGGCTGAAAAGGTAGACAACAAAACGATTTTAATGCAATCAGAAATAAAAACTGCGCTCTTCTATAAAACTCCTGACAGCTCCTAGGCAAAGACATTAAAGTGATAATTTAGTATTCTTATAATCTCAAAGTAAATGAGAGTTGTAAATTCTATAATTTTTTTGACTAATATTATTCTTGTGATGATTGGAATGTGTGTGTCAATTCTATTTTGTTGATCTGTCTAAGAGTTTGTAATTTATTTCATTCGATACCTTTGTAATATATGTCCCTGTTCATCGTCGGACAATTTTTCGGACCCTAAAAACATGATATAAAAATTAGCGCTATTATTTTTGTAATATTTGAAACTATGATATATCTTGCGTATATTATGATGTACCTGAATATTGAAATCAATATTTGTCCGAACGGGACGATGATGAAGGGGTTGCGGTGGTCTAAAGTTATTTGCAAGCGGAGCGTTTGGTTGTTTTTCATCCCCTTGCATCAATTGCCTCAGAGCGTGTAGCTGCAATAATTACGAAAACAAGGGTTATGAAATATAAGATAAGTAATAAGCAATGATATAGAAAAGAATATTTTCGATACTATTTTGATGCTGCAATGGAATTTAAATTAATTAGATAATTTAGATTTAACACAAAGATTTCATAAAGTAAAAACTGTTTAATTCTATATATAAAACAATTACATTTAAATTTTTATGATCCTAAATTAGCTTTACTTTTACATGAATATTATACTTGAAAGAGTTGAAATGAAATTCATCTTTAATCCGATTCAAGCTTCATTATTACATGACATAAGGTACGAGTGATTTTATCACCTCGGTGAATATGCGATCGATATCAGTAATAACAACATTTGCAATTCTGATGTGACAACTAATTTAAATACATGATCGATTATCGCAAATGTTATTATATAAAGGAGAGAGAAAGAAGAGAGAGAGAGAGAGAGTATAAAGTTTGATTTAACTTTTACATCAAAAATAGATTTACCCGCTTACTACTATGCTAATATAACACATTTCTCAATGAAACTTAAGTCTATTAATAAAACCAGCTACCTTATATTAATATGAAAAATCAAGCAGTAGCTTTCAAAGAAACTTATTTAATCTTTTAGTGTCTGATAATAATGTGTAGTTGCTCATGCATATTTTATTTATTAAAGCAAGATTATTATAAGCTAAAAAAATTAGATTTTAAACATTTGTGTTCTTTTTTTAAACAATGTTATTATGCCACAGAGTTTATCCATTTTTTAAAATGTCCAATATGTCTCTTGTTTAATTTCTTGTACTTAAAAGAATGACAAAATTTACAAAAAGAGATTTCTGTAAGATCTAACTTTTCATAGTGATGCTCTGAGAAATATGAGCTTAATTAGTTTCTCGTTTCTCTTCTTTATTTTGCAATATTTTAACTATGTCAAGTTATTCATGAAGTACGATGTTCCACGATCTTTCAGAGATTCGCCCTTTTAATGATCGGAATTGCATAATTGAGTGGAGCCTTCGTACTTTACCGTCGCGAACACTCAAGTGCGGGGGCGTGTGGTTGCATTTTAAAAGCTGTCACGGTGGGACGGCAATACTTGCCTGCTGCTTGGTGATGTATATGGGCTTGTTGAGGATGATCCATGTGGTGGTCTCGTGACACGCCGGCATCGTGGTGGAGCCGTCGTACGTCATGTAATGCTTCGTGTCCGGCAGAAGTTCGCGCACCCCGAAACGTTTAATTTCCATGGCCTGCCCTGTGCAATTCATACGGTCGATAACGTCAACTTTGTTCATGTATATTACATATACGTGTGTGTCGCTCGATTACTATCGACGCCGCGGTACACAGTTGATACGTACGTCGTTACGTATCGCTAAGCTTATCGTACACACCGCTCGATCATATTTGCATACGTCGAGAAACGCCCGCGTTCCCTCAAAGAATGATAATAATTATCGATTATCTTCTTCGTAAAAAGTTGGCGACAAAACCATGCCAAGTTTTCAAAAAGTTATAATGCATACCATCATCAGACTTTCGAAGATACATCAATCTTTTCACCTTTTTATTCCAACAAAATTTTTATCCCAAAAGACCTAAATATACTTAAAAAATCGTGCACATTAGAAACTTGCACATTGCTTCCTTATCGTTTTATTTTGCTTATAAAGCTCCTTTTCAGAATAAACGGGTTTTTCAATTTTGGCTTTCCCATAGAGGAAGCTTTATCATGTTAAAAAATTTAACCCAATATCTCGAAATTTGCGGAAGTTAAAGCGTGCACAGACATTTTTCAAAAAATTCAAAATTTCCTAAAAAATGAACTCTTTCATCAATTTTCTTCAATTTCAATACCAACTATTCTTTAATGATACTCTATTCATATAAAAAAATTTAGCCCGATATCTCAAAATGTGCGAAAGTTACAGCGTGCACAGACATTTTCGATCAATCCGTACATACATACACACATACACACATACGGACATTTTATTTAGACGCCTCACGTCGAGAATATTTGAAGTTTAATTATCATACTTTTAAATCGGAAATGGAGAGATTGCAAAAAACATCGAAGACATTTCATTGAACGTTTCATTTAAATTATTGTTCTTATCTGTTTTTTTTTTACCTCAGCAGG